CGCTGAGGTTCATGCAAGCAAATGAGGGCGCATAGCATCTTTAACACGACCATGCAAGATGACCGCAGCGCCCCTCTGAGACACACGGCCCAACCCACAACAATTGCAAAGGGCAACAAGGTCTTTCTACTTGTGGGGGGCAATCATCTACAATCCGCTTCAATAAAGGAGCAGATTCCACAATACTTTCAGTATCTTGATTTGCTTGTGGGTGAGGCCACGGAAAATAAAGCCATTCGATGGGGTGAACCTACCTCGCTTTTATCACAGATCGAACCATCTGCGAAAGAAAAAGGCATTGAACGCTTCCAGACTTGCGGTGGCTCAGGCGTTCTGATGGAGGATGGCACGCTTGTGTTTCCTGTGATGGCGATGAAGGGAGAAAATAGCGTTGCCTCCATGATCATTTATTCGAAAGACGGCAAAACATGGGGGCTACCAATGGGCATTGACTTTGCGGGGTGCACTGACCCTTTCATCGTCGAGTGGGAGAGGGGGCAAATTGTGATGATTACTCGCTGTAAGAATGATCTCAAGGCTATGGAGTCGAGGGACATGGGGAAAACGTGGAAGCGGGCTGTCGGGGCAATATCGCGCGTGGAGGAAAATTTTCAGTCAAACCCTACTTACAAGCGTTGGCTTGTGACATCCTTCACCACTGCGACCATTGCTGGAAAGAAGGTCATGCTGTACACTCAGCCAAAATACATTTCTGCGGCTGTGGGGCCAACTCAGCTCTACATTTGGGTCACCAACAATATTCGCACGTTTAACGTCGAGACCGTTTCCATGGACACTGATCGGGGGGAGGTGCTCAGCAGCTCCCTGCTGCACTCCAATGGTGCGCTTTACTTTTTGCAAGAGAAGAACGATTACCCGACAAGGAGCTTGTTACTTTCCCTCCTAACGGAGGAGCTGAAGACAATTACGTCCGTCTTGGAGACTTGGGCAAAACTGGACTCCTTCCTCTCCAAGTCGTCTGTGCCCACGGCCGGTCTGGTTGGATTCTTGTCGGATGCATCGGGTGATGAAACTTGGAACGACGCGTACTGTTGCTTGAGTGCAACTGTGACGACTGCAAAGAGGGTCGAAAATGGCTTTAAGTTCATGGGGTCCGAATCATACGCTGTGTGGCCGGTGAACATGTGGGTCAATAGCAAGTTTTACGGCTTTGTGGATTACGAGTTCACGCTTGTGGCGACAGTGACGATCGATGAGGTACCGAACGAGAGCGGTCGTTTACTGAGCGCGAGCTTGAATGACAAGGAAAACACGACGTTTGTGGGGCTGTCGTACACGACGGAGAAACAGTGGGGGACAGTCTTCGACGGCATCACGACAATAACACACAGCAGCACTTGGAAGCCGGGGAAGGAGTACAAAGTGGCGCTCATGCTGCAGGACAACAAGGGCTCCGTGTACGTGGACGGCGTGCTCGTGGGAAAATCGGACACACTACCAACGCCTCAAAAAAGGAATGGCGAAATATCAGACTTTTACTTTGGCGGCTGCAAAGACAGCAGTGTGACAGTAAAGAACGTCTTTTTGTACAACCGCCCATTGAGTGAGCAGGAACTCAAAAAGGTCGACGACTACGATCCATCTGGGAAAAATGGAGGCGACAGCTCCATGCGTGCGGATGTGTCTTGCGTGCTGCTGCTGCTGCTGCTGGGGCTATGGGGCTTTGCGGCTCTCTTCTAAGTGGGGCACAGTACAGGGGAGTTTGTGCTTCCGGGAGGAACAAATGCGCCTGTCTACGCCCTCTGAGCCAATTGAAGCATCCCGAGGACATTTTGCATTATTTTATATAATTCAATTAAATTCAAAGATCCATTTTAACCTATGCATACAAATTTGTTTGGTGTGAGAGCACACTTTTTCCCTTGGGCCCAGCATAATAGGGCCTTCACCTGTTTTTTTTTTGTATTTTGTGCTTTT